TGTCCTCAAGTTCGTGGAGAGCTTCTGCCTCATCAGCGCTGCCTGTGGGATGGTGGGAAATGGCATGGTCCTATGGTACCTCGGCTTCCGTATCCGGAGAAACCACTTCACTGTCTACATCCTGAACCTGGCCGCTGCCGACTTTGGCTATCTCCTCTGCATTGCCATTGAGACAGTTCAGTACCTGATGCAGTTCAACGTGGGGGTGCAGTTTGGGATATTCCTCTTCCTGGACCTTTTCATGTATGGAACGGGCTTGTATCTCCTGACCGCCATCAGCATTGAGAGGTGCCTGTCTGTCCTTTGCCCAATCTGGTGCCGAAGCCACCGCCCAAAGCACATGTCCGCCATCATCTCCGGCCTGCTCTGGGGTGTCTCCCTGCTGCTGAACACTCTCGGGTATGTTTTGTGTACCATTCGCCCCCCTGCCAGGAGCTGCAATCTCCTGCTCATCACCATTGGAACCTTGGATTTCCTCTTCTGCACGCCCCTCATGCTGATCTTCAGCCTGACCCTCTTCCTTAGAGTCAAGTGCAGCTCCCAACACCTCCGAACAGGCAGGCTCTTCACCGTCATCATGCTCACCGTCCTCTTCTTCCTCATTTTCGCTGTGCCTCTGAGTGTCCTGATCCTCTTTGACTTCTTGGGCTACAAATTCCTCTACTCCCCGGAGATCGGCTTTGTGCTGTCCTGTGTGAATAGCAGTCTCAACCCCATCATTTACTTCCTTGTGGGGAGCTACAGGGACCGGAGAATCAAGTTCGCCCTCAGGCTGGCATTCCAGAGGGCCTTTGAAGATTCAGCCGATGACAAAGATGAACGGGAAACCCGTGAGACAGTAACTATGTCCTCCTAAAACCTTGCTGTGCCTTACACAGTAACACTGGCCTGGAGCTGAGGGCCGATAGTTTACAGAATTGAAGAACTCTGAGGTATTGGGGAAAGTTTCTCACCTAACATTCAGTATCTTCGTTATAGATCTCTACCCTTCAGCTAGTTATTTTAAGCTCCGTCTCTGGTGAGTGCAAACACATAAGCACCTCGACCACAGAATTTATCTGACCTGTATTAGGACCACATTGAAAGTGCCTATTTCTTTTCAGTGGCCATTAAAGGATTTCATTTTGATAAGGTGATATGTCTTGGTGTCTATGTTTCATCAAAGGAATCCCACTCAGGATTTGCAGCTCACTCAATAAATCTCTGTCTCTCAGAGCACAACAATATCAAGTTCATAAATTCTCAGTCACTTTTTACTCAGGGCTCTGAAGCTGAGGTGGGAACCAATCCTCCTCCTGTTGAAATCAGCCACGAAATTCCTGAGAGGAGAGTTTATCTCTCTCACTTAATTTTAAATACCTGTATCTCAGCAATACATGCAACCTCTTGCAGCTCCCAGGGTGCACGATTCTTCGCTTCTAATGTAAGCATTTCAAATAGTGAAATGATTCATGCCCTAGAAGAACCTTTCGTTTATCTACTAGGAAGGTTTCCATACCATAGAGTTGTGATGGAGTAGACAAGGGGTCCAACCCCTACCAACTTGCCTTACAGCTTTATGCAGTGAGTTGCATGCTCCCTTTTCTTGTGTTTCAAAGAAATACAGGGCTGGAGTTGCATATTATTTTAGCTTCCTCCAGCCCAGGACAGAGTATCTGCATCAAACTACAGCATGAATTGAGTTGTTATTTCTTCCTTTAAGAAGGACAGATGATAAGAACCCATGGTTTCTAACATCTCTTCTGCCAACAGAAATAAATTCAAGGACAGGGAAAAAATAGGGAACAGAAAAAAGGTGAATAAACACCACAGTTTGTGACAAAATATTCTCTAGACCCAATCCCTTGAGATGCAAGATGTGATTATTTGAAGCTTTGCACTATCAGACCACATAACATTTGCTCTTTTAACTTAAATTGATAGAAAAAGGCAACACAGGTAATTTTCTTTGAGAAACCTTACAGATTCCTCTTCATGCCTTCATCTGCAAATATTTTCCTAAAGGGAAACTGTGTTCTTCTATTGCCTATCATGTTTTTTATTTTCATTTGTCTTTTCACTAATTTTGAAATGCACCACTGAAAAAAATAGTGGTTCACCCTGATGCCTGCAGTTGTGTTTTGCTTCCTGTTTACAGTTCCTGAAAGCTAGAATTTGAGTTCCATTTCTACTATTCTTTAATTTTTAATGCTACTGTTCTGCAACGTTGATTCAGATTCAGCCTATGTCATCAATTATTTTTAGTAAGGTTTTTTTCTTCTAACTTCTACTGCTGAGGGGAAGAGAGCATCCATTTATCAGAAAACATGTTAAAAATGTTTTCCTTTTAATATCTGTAGTGATTTTATCATCGGGAGATCCGAAACTTTTCTATTACTATTAAAAATGACAAAAGTTTTTTTTAAAAGAAAAACAAAATGTATTTAAAGACATTCTTGTGCTCAGAAGCAGCTGTAAACTGATAAAAACATACAGAATATAAACTGTGAAAAACTTTCCATCCTGCCCGTTTGTCCTTAAACATGCCCATTGTGAAGACATGCAGCATTTAATCTGAGCACCTTTTACACATCAGACTAATGTCAACACTTTACATCCAACCTTGGACATTTAAAAGGTGATGCCTGCATGTAAACCACCATCCTAGACTGCCTCAATCATCCACGGTAAAAAACAAGCATTCTCAGGGAGTGGCATCTGCCAGATATTTGCAATGTACCTCCTGTGGTCCAAAAGAAGTCAGTGATAGGATCTGCAAGGAGATGGGGATCATTTCCAGGTTTTTCCACCCTGAACTAACACCAAGATAGTCAGCCCAGTCTTCCAGGGAGAATGTCCTCAGCATCTGTACTGGGATTGTCCTCTGAATTGCTTGGTATCTCTCTGGAAGGATGTCAGGGCATCCAGAAGATCAGTGGTCACGCATGAGAAGGGTACATTCCTCAGGGGCCACCAGCACCCTGAAAAAAGCCCACATTTCTGCCTCCCAGGGGACAGCTGGAAGGAGACAGGCAGCCAAGGCCATAAGTGTTAAGTGCGCTTCTCCACATGGTCCACGTGCCAGTGACACGCGGTGCCTGCGAGGGATGGTGTCATCTGTTCCCCAAGGACAGCAAACCTACCTTCACTCCTCTGAGGAGTCCCTAGACACCTGAGTCTGAAATAATCTTTATTTTCTCATTGATTACAGCAGAAGGTGCACACGTTACTGTTGGTATTTCTGTGGTGCAGTTAAGGCCTGGAGGAAGGGCAAGTGTATGGGCATGTGGATGCTTCAGAACTGTCCAGTTTTCACCACATGCAGGAGAATAAAAGGGTCTCCTGTGCCTTGATTTGGTTCCCTACCTCAAGCCTCTGTCTGCGGGTAGTTACCCCCACCCTCCCCTTCAAGCAGCTACCCCGTTCTCCATTCCAAGAGCTTCTACAGCAACCAGCATGGGGTAGCATTCTCTCCCTCACCCCAGTCTACTTCACACACACCTCAAAGGCTCTTACAGCCCTGCCCAGCATCAGCTGCCAAATTCCTTCGCTTGCACCTTTCATGGAGATGTGGCTTCATGCCACAGGAAGGAAGAGGCAGCAGGTAGTGAGAGACATCTACCGTCCTCTTTGAAAAGGGATAGTCAAGGTCAGCCAACTGGGGGAAGAAGGAGGGGCAAGCACGTCTAGACATCTCTCTCTTGATGATCTTAAAGGTCTTTTCCAACCTAAATGATTCTATGATTCTATGATTTAAGTGTTGCACCAGCTCATAGCCAAGTGGTGTCTTACAACCCACAGAGCAACTTGGGATCAGGCACAAAGAAGAGCAGAGGAAGTACAACAGTGCCAACAGGCTTTGGCAGGCCTTGCTGGTGAGACCTGAGATATGTTACAGAAACCCCACTTTAGGTCCTATGGGTTGTGTGCTTTAAAAGCTTAACTGCTGAAAACATAGTCACCCATTCCTACCCAGGACAGAAAAAGACAGCGCGCACAAGTGAGTGTCCATAGGCAAGGAGCTGTAGATAAAGGACTTAGTCCAACCCTAACTTCTGTTTAATTTGAACTAAGAGAGGTGACCAAGTCAGGTAATCACAACATCACAAAATTTGGATCAGGTCTGCTGAAAGGCAACTCCTGACTGCAGAGGTGGAGAAAGATCCTCGCTTCTTTGCAGCGTGGCACTGGAAGATTGAGGGACATTTGTCCCCCTGGAGCCAACACCCACCCATTTCAAAGCCTGTACAGCCACACGGTCAAACATCCTTTATTTCTGTCCGTTTTAGAAGTGGCACACAGCAAGTTTATTTCCTGTCTGCAGTATTTCTGTTAATTGCTATGAATAAATTGATGTGTTTACTACGCTCCCTTCAGCTCAGCCTTTTGAAATACTTTCTTCCTCGGGGGTCAGAGGTGAGCAGTGAGTTTTCTAGAAGCTGTAAAAGCCCTGTGCAGTTTAGAGAGGCTCCACCTATCAGCAGGAGACAGAAATAGGCACCTTTTTATACATACTGTGAAAGAAAGGCTCAAAAGCATTCCGGGGTGGAAGCTTAGGATGTCAAGCAAGGATCACTGATGCCTAGCACCCAGGGAATGAAGGCCTCATTGCCTGATCTGTCTCCCTCACCCCAGACACGTGGGCCAAGCCATTTTTCATCCTGGGGTCTTGGCAGGATTTGGGATAAGGCATTGAACAGGAAATGAATTTTGAAGGAAACATTGGGAAAAGGGATACCCTCTCTCAGACTAATCCAATCTAAAGCAAGTCTGATTTCCCAAGAGAGAAAAAAGGAAACAGAATACCACTCCTCTGAGAACTTCCCTTTTCCTACTAACCACTCATTTATACACCCCTCACACAACAGCATTTGGCCCCAGTACAAATGCACAAAGAACCTTTCACGGATGCAAGCAATCTCCCAGAGCATCGTCGGCAATGGAATCTCTGGCAGGTAATTTTCTCCCCACCTACTGTAGGAGCAACCGGAGAAGCGGAGCAGAAATGTGAAATCACCTCACAACATGAAAGAAACCCATTCTCATCTACTGCTGACTTCATCCCATTCTCCCCATTCCGCATGATGAAAACACTCCTTCCTGACAGCACCTGCTTCCTTGCATCACAGAAGATATGACCTGAATCTGCAGACTGAAACACCTTCCTCGTCTTTTCCACAGAAAGTGTTTCCCAGAAGATCCAGTGGGATAAATTAGAAACCAAGAGAAAGACACTCTAGAGCTGCTGCCAGATTCCAGCTTCTCTGAGAGCTCAGTTCAGCTGCACAGGGGCAGAAGGTAAGCATTTGAGGACTGGGTTCAGAAATGCCTCACCGTCCACACGTTTTGCAGTGTTCTTTGTCTCTGCTGTGCCGTTTTCTGGTCCTCTCCCAGGTGTACACGCACACACAGCCACTAGGTTGTCACACCCTCCCCATCTCCTGCTCTGTCTGTAAGTAGCAATGTTTTCTGCTTCTTCATCTTTACTCAGTTGAACGGTCTCATTCTTTCTTCTGCATGGATGCCACACTTAGCCCACCTCCACTTCCCCAAATTCCTGCATGATTTTTCCCTCTCCTCAACATCTTGCATCTTGCTAGCTATTACCTACATAGGTAGTAACTATACACGCCCCTTGAAAGCCATCTCTCCCAAGTCACAAAGCTGTAAGAATAAAAGCAATGTGTCAGTCACTAAATGCCCTCTGTCTCTTCTCTGATCCCAAGAGAAACAGAAAGGAGAGACGTATCTGATTTGGAGTATTTCATCATAACTGAGGAGCTCATAACCTTCTTTCCCAAAAGCAACACAAGCCAGGCTCACAGGTCTAATTAAACTTATCAAACTTCAGGTTAAATACGTTCTGAGAACAGTTCCTCTGAGCTCAACCTGATGACACTATTCAGTAAGGTGATTCCTCCCCTGTCTCTCTGCAGGAGCTGTCTCCTACATTCCATCTTTGTTTTACTCTTCAGGGGCTCTCCATAGCACAACAAAACCCCTGACCCTCTTGGCTTATTCCTTACAGGGTAGCATAGATCAAAAAAAATTGCTGCTGCTGCTTGCAGAAGGAAAACCTCTGGGTGCAACACACGTTGACTGCTAAAAATGTCATGGGTTTGATACATGCCTTGAGGAGAACGTCAAGCAGGAAGGTAGTGATAAGAATGTTGATCTCTCCTAGCTGATATTGCTCTATGTATGTTTTAGATGCTAATGAGGAGGGGAAGATGGAGAAAAATCAGCAGCAAATATAAACAAAATCAGGAAATCTGATATGAAGACGGACTTACGTGTATCTTCATTGTTAAAACACATTGCTCCACACAACATTACACAATAGGCTCTTGGGTTGGTGGATGCAACACTGGACAAAAGAGGGGAATTACTGATGCCAAAATTCCAGCTCCCCTCGGGGCTGATGGTGACTTCTGCTGCACATGGCTTTGTAGCCCTGTCGATTTCACAGTTTTGAAACCAGACGAGCAGCAGCCGATTGCATGAACCAGCAAGAGGAAGCAGATGTACAGAGGTGCAAACCAGCACCCAGCAAGGCACCTGGGGGAGGCTGGAAACCTCATCCTTTCAAAGACGGCAAAGAAGAGAGGACAGAAATCAGCACAAACAAAAATGGCAATGGTACCTAACGACAGGGACACAGCCTAACTGGGTTCTTGGGCATGAACAGAGAGGGAACATACAGGGATGTGGTTGACATAGGCAGAGGTTGGGGGGGAAGAGTAAGAACAGAGGAGTGAAAGGATTAACAACAATATATTGATTACAGTGTGTGGCAATCAGCTCGAGAACTGGCTGCCCTTCCTTCCAGACCGGTACCTCAGAAGTTTCTCCAATTAAGTGTCTCATCTCTTCCAGTCTCTCCTGACAGTCTCCAGGCAAGCGCAGGCTGCGGCAGAGGTGGTGCTGGAGACAGCAGACCCCGTGTGTCCGTCCCACGGGAGAGGGACCAGAGCAGGGGACACCCCAAGTCTGCTAAGCACAAAAAATTATGTGTGTGTATGTGTACTGGCTGCCTGTGACAAGCTGCTGGCAGCGTGGGCTGCAGGGCCCTCTGTGAGGGGAGCGGAGGGTTCACTCTGAGGGAGCGGAGGGGTCGCTCTGTGAGGGAGCGGAGGGGTCGCTCTGTGAGGGAGTGGAGGGGATGTCCTGTGAGGGAGAGGAGGGGTCGCTCTGTGAGGGAGCGGAGGGGTCGCTCTGTGAGGGAGAGGAGGGGTCGAACTGTGAGGGAGCAGAGGGGTCGCTCTGTGAGGGGGGGGGGGGGGGTGTCCTGGGGGGGGGG